GACAAAGAAAATCGGAGGCTTTCTCAGCCTTGTGAGAGTGTTTGCTTGTTTCGCATGAGAGAAATCTCGATGACCGTTCACTTTAGAGAGGCGTTCGTATCTTCAAATGCTGTGGTTACGGGACCGGGAGTGTGGACTCATACCCAAAGCACCATGTACGTTTTGTGAACAGTGCCTTGGTGTGGAAGTGTTGGAAGCAGAAAATCCGGATGGAACTCATGGTCCCTAGATTCTTGGTGTGGTCACAGAAGCAAACACTTCCTCAATTTGACTTTAAAACGTGTAGGCGGGTAGGACTCACATCACCAAGGAGTTGTAAGTTGACATTTATGAGGTTAAAGAAACTCATGGTCTCATACATCTGCCTTACTTTGAGGAAGTACTAACAGCCATTTACTACTGTAGAAAGTTTAAGCGATCACTTTGAGTTGTTTTCAAGTAATTCTATTTCCTTTTCTAGCTAGGACTTCTCTCAAACTTGTGTGTGAGGAGACTCGATGTTGGCCTCAGCGCCTAGGCTGAAATCAGCAGATTGGCTCATGAAAACTTATGTACTGAGACAAAGGAAAGGATCTAGCAGGAAGCAACATCTCTTATCCTGGGCTTGGCAGCACGAAAGAGGACAAGGAGTGGAGATCCTGCAATCTGAAAAGCAGACTGAAAGGTATAGTCACATCATGAGGCTAGTGTTTTATGATAGAAATAAAACGAAGGACTATAGCCATGGTATATATCACCGTAATCCTAGCACTGGAGGTTGGGGCAAAACTGCTTAAAGTTGGAGACCAGTCTGGTATGGGAGACTGTCCAAAGGGCGGTGGTGAATTTAAGTGTTTCTTAGGCTATACGTAGAATGAACACATTGCTTTAATTTAGCTTTCACAAACAACTGGTATTTGTCTAAGGACTTGGTTTCATATTTTTGAGGTAAATGGTCTGGTGGGGCAAGCCTGTCTAACGACATTTCTAGAACTGGAGCTTTGGAAACTTCAAAAAGGACAGGTGTAATTTTACATTTTTTTTACTTACAGGTGACAAAGAAGCTGAAGATGGGAGGTGGAGAGAGGTGTAACACTCCAGCCCCTCAATCTAGAAATGTTAGTAAGAACCAACAACAGCACAACAGACAGAAGACCAAGGATCAGAATTCCCAGATGAAGATCGTCCATAAGAAAAAAGAAAGAGGACATGGGTACGCTCCATCGGCAGCTGCATGGCAGGCCATGCAGAATGGGGGAAAGAACAAGAGCCTTTCTAACAACCCAAATTGGAATGCTAGCTTATCAAGTCCGAGCTTGCTTTTTAAGTCTCAAGTTAACCAGAACTATGCTGGAGCCAAATTTAGTGAACCACCATCACCAAGTGTTCTCCCCAAGCCACCAAGCCACTGGGTTCCTGTTTCATTGAACCCTTCAGATAAGGAAATAATGACATTTCAACTTAAAACCCTTCTTAAAGTACAGGTTTAAAGGCCTAAGTACTTGTTTTAAATTCCGTCATGTTCATACATAGCCATCAGTTGATTTGACTTTAGGGGATTTTTATAAAAGTGCTAGTTTACAAGTATAAGCAGACATTTGATTCATGTCCTGTGTGCACTATATTGTAATAGTGTAGGGATAGTTTAATAATACTTAGTAGTTTTGCTAACTAAATTCAAGCTTAGATTTCGGGAACAGTAATCAGCTTTATTGTCTAGCAGGAAAACAGGAAAGAAAAAATTCAAATAAGCATTTAGCTAAGATACACAAAGACTCCAAACAAGGTGCACAGTTTAGTTAAATGTTCTAGGGACACCCAAACCATAACATCATGGGCATCTTATAAAATAGCTGTGTCTTAAGTTGTACAGTGGTAAATGTGTAAAGGGCAATTGGAGCTTATTAGAATGAGGCCAAGTAGATAGCCCAAAATTTCCTGAATACAGTGAATAGGCATTTATACACCAAATCTTTTCCAAAAACAAATACTGAACAGCTTTCAGATAACATTTTTATTCGCTAGCATCTTATAGAGCTGCTGAGGTGATCTGGCCTTATGCCTACAAAGCTTGCTTGAAGCAGGGAGTTAGTTGTGTGTGTGACAGATACATAAGGAAGAAAAGAGCCATGTAAATACATGTAATGAGCTTGTAACATATGTAAAGTTTTCTGGCTTTTATTCTACAAAAAGAGACTATTTTTAGTGTGAATTTGCTGAATATAAGACCATGAACTGTTTTTTATACTATGGCCTAATTTTAAAGGTCTCCAGTTTTTAAAGACTGCCCTTGTGCTTAAGTGCCAGTGCATCGATGTAATTGATGTGATTGTGAACCATACAAAGTAAATTTATTGTATTAAGTTTTAATATTGAAAAGCTTTAAGCTGCAATTGCATTTCCTGTTTTTAAAAAGAGATGTAAGATGCAGCATAAGATTCTCTCCCTGACCTTTTTAAACCCAAAGACTCATTTTGGCTTTATCAAATCCTGCAAGTAACTGATGATTAAGTGTGCCCCAGGATTATTTATGCAAAGTAATTTTTAGCACGTTTAACCACAAGAGCAAGTTACTTTTCAGTGCTTATAAGCAAAGTAGCTAATTTGTATTTCCTCAATTAAGTTCAGACCAGATACCGCCCAAATCAAATATTGAGTATCCTAAAAGAGAAGTTCATAAAATGATTTGATTTTGAAGCATGAAATTCACAAATAAAACTTGTTTTTCCTCCCCAGTAGGTCGTTTTCATTTAAATGATTTGCGGCTGCCTACTCTTGGATATGACCGTTAGCTTGTGAGGCTACTGCTTTGCTTACTGTTTGTAAATTGAATCTTCTGAGACAGGGTCTCTGAACCATGGGATTAAAGTTGTGCACCCAGCTAAATTAAACTTCCTGTCCTACAGTGCTAACAGCAAAAAATGAAGCCAAACAGCTTGTGTGACCTTACAAATGTTAAGTTTAAGACAGTTTAATAAAAAATTTCCCCATTTCACGTGATTTACAGAAAATTAACAGGATTCAAACTAGCAAAAATCCTTAAGAGTGTGTAGGCAGAGGCAGCTGGATTGGAGTTTGAGGCTCTAGGACAGCAAGGGTTACATTAGACCTCGTCTCAAACAGCAATAGCCTATTTGTTTTCTGGTGAATAGATTTCCTAAGCTGGAGTGCTTTAAACTAGTTAGTAATCCCACATGAAGGCCATACTTTCCCATGCAAATTTCAGAAAGTACATGGAGGGGAGTTTCAAAATCTTTTTTGTGCCTCTGCCTATGCATTTGTTTTTTGTGTATGTTAGAATGCAGCAATATAACTAGATTTCTAGTTTGGGACCAAAATGCTTAAGTCATTTTATAAACTGATTCAATAAACACCTCATTTCTTAGAAAAATTACTAATAAAAGTGTATCCATAAGCCCATTACTTAGGAGGCAGAAACACCAACAAATACAAAAAGCACTCATGAAGCCTGGTAGCCACATATGGTATAAGCTTTCTTGTATTTTGGTGGTAGTGTATATTATGGTCTCCATGACAACAACCTTACTTTAAATCTATTAAGTACAAAATATATGTAGGAGGATTTCAAATGGTTCTAAATTTTCCACCTCCCCCCCCCCCCCCTTTTTTTGGTGGCTTTTCGAGACAGTGTTTTTTTGTGTAGTTTCCTGGAACTTGCTCAGTAGCCCAGGCTGGCCTCGAACTCAAGAGATCCATCTAGCTCTGACTGAAGAGTGCTGGGATTAAAGGCGTGTGCCACTTTTTTCACATTTTCACGGGTAATGACTAAATCAAAGTATATAGCTTTAAAACCTCAGAAACAAAACCTGGGGTAGTCATACCTGTAAGGTACAACAAAGTCTACAGAAAAACCAAGAACTTTAAAGCACCTAGACCAGTTTATTTTACTCTTCAGCATTCAAAGAAATGTGATCTGCAAAAAACCTGGATTACAAAGGCCTTTCTTTTACTTCTTTACAAACTACTGTTACTAATGAAAATTTACATGCCTCAACTTTTTATCCCTCCCCCCCACTTCACAAAAAAACCTCCACTTTTAACACAGGGTGATTGGTGAACCAGCTTTACAAATACACAAACATTAATAACCAACACTTTTGCAGGAAAAGACAGGAAAACATCTAAGAGAAAAGAATCAGTCATCTTCCATTGAATATCTTGGTTGATGACAAGTTGTTTAATTCACCTATCAGGTCATCACTGAAAATTGAGAACATTTCCTTTCTGGGACACCTAAAGGCTTTGATGATCCTCTCTGATTCCTGGCTATTGCTCAAGTATCAGTTTATAATCTCAGTATTTTATAGAAAGGAACTTGGCTTAAAAAAAAAAAAAAAAAGCTGCGCAACAACACAGACTCGAAGTTTGGAAAAGCCAGCTTGGAGCACCCAAGCTCCAAACTGCCTATAAATCTTGGAATACACTTAATCCACTTTTTACCTAGTAAAGTTAGAAGGTAGTAAGAAATGATGTATGTGTGCAAAAATTCCTGTCCACATGGTGGGCATCCCACAGAAAACAAGTGATTTAAGGTTAAGCAGGAATATCTGGAAAACATACAACTTGGCACAGCAAGTGCTTAGTAATATTGACAGCCTTTAATATACATGGAAACCACAGTAGACAGACTAAAACAATTTACTCTAAGCTACCCAAACCACAGGGGCCCTTTCTATTTTACCACACTTAAAACTTAAGAGCTGTCAAGTACTATTACTGTACTTATAAATGAACAAGGTTATATTCCCGCAAATGAAACTCTTAAAACTCAAAATAGTACAATTAACAAAACAAAATCCTCACGAGAACACACAATTTCTCTCCCTTAAGCTCAATTTGAAAGGAAATGGAGAGGGGGAATAGAGAACAAAACACCCATGAACTGCACAGATAATTGTTAAATACACAGAAACTCTATCTTTAAAACCAATCCAATGCTAATGATTTTGTAATGGTATAAAATACATTTAGTCATTTATAATCTTGAAATAAACGCTAAATTCAGTTTTTATCAGTTTTTATTGTGTCCTTGAAAATAAAACTATAAAAGCATTTCCAACTTGATTCAAAATAAAAACAGCAACAAAAATGAAGCCAAAATTTAAAATTCTCACCTGGTACCTGCTGCCTTTTTAAGTTTGGGCAGGCTGAAAAAAGTTTGTTTTTAACACAGATAAAATAACCTTCATTTTTACCTCCCTTCATTTATGTGTAATCCTACTACATTTTATAAATTGTTATAAAGGCTTTACACTGTTTCCAGATTTCAGAATTTGACATTGTTTTAAATATGTGGCAAAAATACAACAAAAATTCAACTGTGATGGAATCAATGTTATGATAAACAAGTTAATATCCTAACAAGGAACCAAGGAATCTAAAACATTTTGCGACACTATAAAGTTATTAACTATACACAGAATATGTCCCCTATAAAATGTACAAGTAGATCACTAAAAAGTCTAACCTGGTAAACATTTTTTTTTCCAATACAGAATATACTAAGTCCATTGGGGTAACAGCTGTCTGCCTCAAAATAATCTAATTATAGCACCCAGGGTCTGTTTTAATGCAAAGTTAAATGCTTGTTATTTGGGGGATTATCTATTTGTTTGACTGAGCCAGAAGTTAATAATTTAGTATTAGTCTAGTATATTAATCACTGCACAATAAATCTGCTTATCACAGGTTTTCTTCATTATTTGTAGTCATGGGATACAAACACTAGATAATTTTAAATGGCAGACAACCATAAAATTACTTATCTCTGATAGTGTATTGTTTTGTAATTACATTAGTATATGAATGGTATGAAATATCGCAATACACCTCAAGCCATACTGTAATGATTCACTAGATTGTGCTCAGTAGGTACTTACTAAGTAAGTAACTATTCTCCAATTATCCAGTATAATGTTTTGCCCACAGTAAAGGTTCATTCAATAAATGTCTGTTGAACATACTGTCTAGTCAAGAGGTGAGGAAGAGATGGGCCCTCATAGTTGGATGTCAAGTATAAGTGGAATTAACCTGGGAAGGAGTGGTTAGATGTAAACTGCACATGGTATACAAGTAAATAAACTCAGATGCCAACAAAACAAACAGTTAAGCAGAAAATACTGGCATTGGAATAAACAAAGGCAAGACCTGCCAACACTGGCATAAGTGGAACTGACTTTTAAGAGATAATCAAGAAAAACTTTATATTGGACCATACCTTTACCATCCAATTTAGTTTGAGACAGACCAAGAGAGGCACTGTTAGAGACTATGGCTGTCTTCCTTGATATTCAGACATCCTAGTTTCCAATAACTTATCATGGATCTGCCACCCATGAGTCAATATACCTGTTCATATTTAGGGATTAGTTTCCACAAGTACAAAGTTGAATTTCCTTTTATTTGTCCTAAAATGCTTACTTTCAAACTTGAAGGGACTTCAATTATTCCATGTAGTTTTCGATAATTCTTTTATCTTTTCAGACCAGAGTCAAAATATTCGTACAGTATTCATACTGCAGCACCTTCCACCCACCCTTTGGTCGCTTGAACTGCCCTTCTTTGGTTCTTTTTTCCGCTTTCAGATCTTTCTTGAAGTGTAGTAAGCAGAACTGTACTGGGTATTCCAGCTGCAGTTTGGTCTTAAATAAAAGAAGGATGTTTGTCAGTTTGGTTTTCTCTTTATTCTTCTCTGTGGTATACAGGATTTTGTTAGTTGAACTGGATGTAGCAGCTTACTGGGCCAAATTTTCAAGAGTATAGTACAGTAGTTCCCAGGTCTTTTCCCTAGGTTGTAACTTAATAATAGCTCAAACTCTTATGTAGCACCTGTCCTTTCTCACACTGAAGCATTCATTATCTCTCACTTTTCTTCTCGATTACTAGGTTTAAAAAAAAATAAAATAAAAAATCAGAGATCTTAAGTAAAAAGAAAGGCTAAGTGTTAGCCTTCACTTGAGTCTTGACACAACCATCCTATTCAATAGAGCCCAGTGCTAGACACACAGGAGGTTCTCATCGACTGTGAAAGTTAACAATATGATTCATATTTAGCTCAAAACTGAAAATCCTCACCAGGTCTCAATAGGATCCTACTATGAGTGCAACTGTATATATAGTCCTTGTGAAGCTCTGTTGGGTACACCATCTCATAAACAATGTGTAAGCTTCTCAAGTTAACAGTCTGAGTGCAAAAATAAATTAACAAAAACAAACCAACATCAGGCCTTCTAGTTCTACAGAGAATGAGCACAATTTTATTGTGGTACCTCTTCATCTATTGTTTGTTAAAAAATTTAAGGACCAAATTGGGCTCAAATCTTGGCTCTGCTATTTACAGTTTTTAATTTGTGCCTTCGTTTCCTGAGATGGGGGAAAATCTTCCTTAAAGGGTTTTGTGAAGAGTGAACAAATCAAGTTTTTTTAAACAATGTCTGGCACAGCATAAATAATAAATCAGCAGCTGTAATTGTTACTGCAAAATAGCTAGAATTCAATCCACAAAAATACCCAAAACCACCTCCCAAGTGGTCATCATTTAAATGCTCACTAACATTCAATGAAAAAGAATTTAAAATCATGTCATAAACATAAAACCCAACATGTCTTGTTTAGTAGGAAAGGGAAAGAGCAGAACTGATACTTTGTAATAATGAAAGTATAAATTTATAGTTTGTTCAAATTTTCATTTTAATATGTCTATCAACACTACTAAATAACCTCTCATATTATTTAACCCAAGAGGCTTAATGAACAATCATGAAATGACCTTGACATAAGGAATTCTTAAATACTATGTAAAAGATGTTGATTTCTGACAAAGTTCTATCATCCCCGAGCAGGTTAGTTGTGCCTAATGTCAACACTGATTAAAATATTCCTAAATCTACAAAGGATTATTTCCATTATTTTAGACTCATTCAGTACTATAATAATTCCAGTTAATCATTATTTCCTTCATTTTGTTTTTATTATAGCATGTTTGCTTAATTTACAGCAAGCAGAAAATAAGCTGGGTCTTGTTTTGATCCAAACATTGATGTTTTAAAGGTTGTACACAATATTTGTTAAAAAGAACATATAAAAATACCTTTTTAGAAGCTTCTATAAGAAAGAAAATACAAAGTTTAACCCCACAACTTTCCTCTTTGCTAGAACTGCAAACTACTGCTACAGTTTTAAATAGACTTTTTGTTGTTTAAACTATACATCCAGGAAAATCTAAAAAAATTAAAGAAACGTGCATATAAATGATTGCATAGCAGAACAAGAACATTAACTGCAAACAGTAAAGAAACAAAAGTTAGAAATACTATTAAATATACAAAGATTCTAGAATTAACCCTCCAAACACAGTCCACAAACAGTTCTTAAAAACCACCTTTTGTTCTCAACAAGCAAGGCCTATATTTCTAAAATCAAAATTGAAAGGAAAAATAAGGTAATCCTCCAAAAGGATCGTTCCCCTACAATATCTCCACTCACTTCCGTAAGCAAGCAGTTTGAGATTTTTAAAGATGCTTGCTTTTTATTCTGAAATGACACTGGACATTTCAAGTCACTTTATTGCCTCCTAAAGATCTTGAAGAGAAATACTAGAAATTATAAATATTTAAGGGTATCACTTCCTTACTTTAGTCATGTCCTACACGACTCAAAAACTAAGTGATGTGGCTTTTACTTAAAACTCAACTGTTTCCAAAAATTCACGGCACCACAGAATCACCTGGGAGTGTCACCTTTTCAACTTGTCTACATTAATAAACTGAGGTGTAAAGAGCCTCCCTCATGAAGAGGGCAGGCAGAATGATACAAACGCACAGACCAAGTGCTGTAAGCATCAAAATTCACTTTGTTTTACACTATGCATTTAAACAAACAAAATGTACTTTCAAACAGTTTACTTGCTCCTAACAGAAAAACAAAACCCCAAAATAACAATGATCAACAATAGTTAAATTTTAGAGAAACTATGCTAAGAACAGTCTTTTCCCCTTAAAATTATTTCCACCATCATTGACATGCTCAAAACTTAAGGAGGAATTAAGTTTTTGTTTCAAATCTCAGAAACCAGTGGAGGGGTGGGGGGAAAGCAGTGAAGGCTCCATGTTTCAGTGAAAAGTTCAATCTCCCTGAAAATACTATTTAACCTAGTTGGCATCATTCCCCAGACAGTGGAGTTAACAAAAAACAAAACCAAAAAACAAACAAAAAACCCCTATTCCACATTGCATCATAAATAATCACCACGGGCTTAGACATCTTGACAAGACATAAAGGTCCACCCTGAACCTAAATGTGTCTGAGCAGTCAGTGTTGTAATGTGGCTACAACTTCACTTTTGTATCATTCTATCTTATTAGCAAGCTACATTTCTAGGTTAACAGTTCTACCAAATATGGATATGAAAATTTATTTTTAATAAGACAATGTTGCAAATTATGGCCAACCAACATCTTTTCACCAAATACTTCAAGCATAAAAAATGAGAATCTTTACAAAAATATACAGAGACACCACAAATTGGTAGCTGCCCATAACATTAAACAAACTGGACTCTTAAGAGTGGCTTCTCAACAGCATATCATTTTAATTATAACCATTGCCCGGTACAGGGAAAACTAACAAGTGTTTTTTATTTTACTTTTTTTAAAACGCATCATTGCAACATTGTATTCCTGATAATTTAAGTATACCAAACTATGAGTAAATGAATGATACATGCCTAGAAAGTATCATGATTTATACTATCAGTGGCCACTGGACTTGGGACTAGTCCAAGACCTTGATCTAGATTTTGACCTAGACCTAGACTGTGATCTTGACTGAGATTTGGATCTAGGTGGTTCTTTTTTCCTTGATTCCTTTTCATATCTTGAGCCAGACTTATAATGTGTTTTGGAATCTGTTTTAGAGGTGCCTCTAGTTTTGGTGTGAGATGCAGACCTAGAACGTGATTTAGCCTTCATTTCTTTCTTGGGCTGGGACTTGGACCGTGATCTTGAATTGGATTTAGATCTTGAAAAAGATCGATTTCGGTGTTTGAATCTTTCAAAACAGAGGAGAGATACAATTAGAGTAAAAATTAGATTCTATATTCATCAAATTTGTTACTTTTAGAGCAAAAGTTCACTCTGAAATTGAAAAACACAAGTCTTTTTCAAAGCAAAATTATTTACCTATCATTGTCGGAATGGCTTCGGCTACGCCGTGGTCTTCCAGTCGGTCTACTGCTAAAAAGCATATCAGAAAAAGCAAACAGTGACAAATGTCTATTTATAGTCTTAATTTTTAAATAAAGCACCAAAAACACCTTTAGTCTTAATGAAGCATTCAACATACACAAATAAAAAGGAAAATAATTTTTTTTTACATGTTAATAAATATCTCTTTACTTTTAAGACAGGTCCTTACAATATTTTATTGTTTAAATGAGTCTAGAACTCCTGGGCTCGTGTGGTACTCCCATCTCAGTCTTCTGAGAAGCTGGGATTAAAGGTAAATATCATTGTAGTTGGCTACAAACATTAAAACAACAGCAGATGATTGTGTCCCACACTTACTTTCTAGGACTGTAAGATCTCCTATAGTTGTAATCAAAAGAGCGACTCCTTGATCTCCTCCTTTCATAACTTCGGCTTCGAGAACGTCTATATCGATCATAATCATCATATCGTGAAGAGCTGTATACATTCCTCCCTTCCTTGGCTTTCATTTGATTTGGTGCTAGAGGAATAGAATAGAAACACTCAGAAACATTAAAATCATAGCATCTAAACCATCATACTGTAGGATAACACTCCTGGAATTACTGTTTTCTCTTAAAGGTTTTAATTTTATGTGTAGGGGTGATGTGCCTGCATGTATGTCTGCACATGCATTGCCCACAGAGCCCAGAAGGGGGTCTGGCCTGATTCCTCTGGAACTGGAGCTATAGAGGGTTGCTAGCACTATGTGGATCCTAGAAGTCAAACCCGGATCCTCTGAAAGAACAGTCAGTGCTCTTAACAGAACCATTTCTCTAGCCCTCTGTTTTTGAGACAAAAATCTTATTATATAGGCCTGGCTGGCCTGGGACTCACTCTGTAGACAGGGTGGTCCCCAACTGGAGATATGTCTGTCTTTGCCCCCGAGTGCTGGGATTAAAGGTGTATGTCACTATACCTGGCTCATTCTTTCTCTTATACTAAGGAAGTAAATAATGTATTTTGTAATTCAAGGTATGCCTTTGTTTTGGTGTGAGAGGCATAACTAGAACGGGAACATTAACCTTTGTTTACCTTAAAAATGTTTATCAAAAGACTGCTCAATGTTAAAAAACGAGCACTAATAAATCATTGGCTTGCAAATATGATGTTCATTAAAAAATAAAAAGGTGAAATGTAATCACCATACGTTATATGTATGTATGTATGAAATTGAAGACAGCGATGTTCTAAAATAGAAAGTGGTGATGGTGTCATGGGCCTATGAGGATGCTGGACTAAAGTCTATCAAATTGTGCAAACAGGCAAATTGTGTACTATGTGAATTATTTGTCAAAGATTTTATAAAATGTAAAAAAAAAAAAATCATTGGCTTTTCTCAATGTCTTCTCACAATTAGTTTGCTAACATGTTAACTACTTCTGACTAGAGGAACGAACTGATACCACAAGAGTATCTGAAATTCAAGATTTGCCCCATAAAGAACATGTAGCACTAAAATGCAGCAGCATATACTCACACAGTTGAGAGTCAACACACAGAAAAGCCGAAAGGAACTAACACTTATTTAATCTAGACAGCCTTCCCAAGTTTAATCCTATGAATTCATTTCTAGTCATGCACCCACACAACTACCCAATTAATTTTAAGTTCTTTAAGAGAGATGACTTGAGAAAAAAAAAACAAGTCTAAAGAGCAACACACTGTACATATTAGGTATAAGGGTACTTACTCTTGCGATCCCCTTGTGCAAACTGTATTTCAATTTGACGTCCACAAATCCATTTTCTGTCCAAATTATGTAAAGCATCTTCAGCATCACGAACATCCTCAAATGTGCTAAATGTTAAGGGGCTTGAGAAGTTTTGTAAACTTTGATAATGAGGGGTTTGCAAAAGTCTGAAACAACTCACAATCGCCCAATATTGTTCATCCAGACCCTACTTAACTATTTGGTTGACTCAGCCATTAATATACTACAGCATAAAAGCAGTTGCAATTATACCTTATGTTATAAAAAGTATATACTTTTTTGGGGCTGGAGAGATGGCTCAGAGGTTAAGAGCACTGGCTGCCCTTCCAGAGGTCCTGAGTTCAATTCCCAGCAACCACATGGTGGCTCACAACCATCTGTAATGAGATCTGGTGCCCTCTTCTGGCCTACAGGCAAACATGCTGTATACATAATAAATAAATCTTAAAAAAAAAAAAAAAGTATATACTTTTTAAAAAACACATGTATTACACATACATGTTGTAATAAGAACTGTTATACCTGAACTACCAAGGTACACTATAAAAAACGTCCCCATGTTCTTAAGAATTAACTTTGTAAGACAAAATATAAAAAGCCAGTCAATTCAATTAATATACTACAGCATAAAAGCAGTTGCAATTATACCTTATGTTATAAAAAGTATATACTTTTTTGGGGCTGGAGAGATGGCTCAGAGGTTAAGAGCACTGGCTGCCCTTCCAGAAGTCCTGAGTTCAATTCCCAGCAACCACATGGTGGCTCACAACCATCTGTAATGAGATGGTTGGATACCGAAAAATTTTTTACAAAAAAATCCAAAATACTGTTTTCATATTTATGTCAAATAAAAAAGATGTCAGTTTTCAGGCAAGCAAGCAAGCAGAGTATGCTTTTAAAAGAGATGAAAGAATTTTTTCAGATACAGGCAATACTATTTATTATTTCATGTAGTTGTCTTCCCTGCACTGCACAGAAAGACAGGCATACTAGTCATTTATAGGCATTAAGTCAGAGTCAAACAATACACTCAATCACTATGCCAAATGCATATTCCATCCATGCAGACTGTAAAAGCACACTATTAACAAGTGGCACAAGGACTCCTGGACTGAAAAGGCCTAACTATGACACTAAATCCACAGCTTCCTGCAGAAAGCATTTCAGACTGGTTCCCACTTAAGAATCAGGGCAGTATTATGAGCACTAAGTAGAAAAGGTGCTGCTGGCATCCAATTTTCATCTGAGAAACAAAGCTGCCTCTCTCATGTCAGCAATAGTACTCCGAGAACCTATAGGTTGACAGTTATTTTGTCCAAACATCTTTTTTTTAAAAAAAAAAAAAAAAAAAGGCACCATTCTAACGGGAGCTAAGTACACAAAAGGCCCTACCAGAGAAAAAGAGGTGACTTTTAGAATAGATTTTCACTATATCCTAAAAATTGTCACTCTAAGCACATCCAGTGCTATTTCTTGAAACATCGTAAGTGCAGGTTTGGAGCACCAATTAAGAAAATACCCCCAAGTGACACATTCATTTCAAGACATATATTTTACTCCACAGATAAAATAGTTTACCTATCATTAGATTTCCACTTTTCGTTCTCAAAGTAACTAAGGGCCATAGGTCTCAAGCTCTCTTCCTGAGCCCATTATGAGTAGGATAAATAGGAGAGGATTTCCAAAGTCTCAAATAATCGTGTTTTCAACTTTTATCAAAAGGCTGATAGTTTAGAATCCTGAATGCTGTAAATAAGCATCCCTCAAGGTTAACTGCACTTAGGTGCTAAACTAACAGAAATTAGTTCACTTAATAGGCATACTACTTTGTTATCAAGAGACAGAGTATAGTTTTAAATTATTTACATCATGAGCTACAAAGATTATGAATACTGCAAAGCATTCTTGGGTGCTAGCCTTAAAAACAGAATCTTAGCCTAGAGGGCAAGGTTCTTTAATTTACCTACCTCTTAAACCAAGGGTAGGAAGAGAAGACTGAGAAGAGGCACATCAAAGACACAGCAGCAGTAGGGATAGCCAGGTATCACTATATTGGCCATCAACAAATATTTATATTTACCACCCTACTCCGGATTCCCCGAATAACTACCCATTACTATCAATCAAGAACAACATACTCAAGGTAAACCAGTGCTGAGACATTGTCCCCAGGCTATCTCAAACCACATAAACCCCCATCAACATTATAAACCAGATTGGATCAATGTATTTAATGAAGTCAAACATAGGATTATTATCCTTTAATTTTATAACTACCCACAAGGTTCTCCTGACCACTGGCCCCACATGAGCAGCTTTTGGCTTTTCCCTCTGAGTTTCACTAGAAATTTACAAGGTCAGAGTTTCAAGAAACTGAATTTAAGCAACAAGAAAGTTTCCTGGCTTTGAATTCACAGCCTCACCCTCCACCCCTCCTATCTTAGGCAGGGAAATGACCTTACAGAGGGTCAGAAATAAGATCACCTGAAACTCTAAGTCAAGGATCATTTGCCATATATCCTGATTAGGACCCATACCATGAAGAAGGCCCTTTGCAATCCATTCAGGGCCAACTGATCTACTGCATGTGCTAAGCTATGCAGGGCCAGCAGGATTCTAAGAACCAGAAGCTACAGTAAAACTAAAACCAAAAACAAACCAAAAGGAAACTATCTCTACATACTTGTAGTGGCTATATCCTAGAACATCCCAGCTTTTTTCTAAGTAGTCCCCAGTGCATGCACCTGTCTCTCCCCTTCAGGTAGGGCTCTGTGGCTGGGTTTAAGTACCCCATGCTATTCCAAAGAGTCTCTGACGACCTGTCTAAAACCCAATTATGCTGAATTTAATCATAACAATGCTGTATTTTGCTGTACTTTAACTTGGTAAGGTAGGAGAAAATACACTCATACAAGACCACAATCACAATATCAAAGGCCCACACAAATTCAAGTTACAGGTTCTGTCACTAGACCAAACCAGCATAATTATGAAAATTAACTGCTTGCAAAACATAAAAAAAAAAAAAAAAAAAAAGGAAAGTAGTAATTCTGTAGGATACATCAGGTATGACTCCTTTAATCTTGGCCATCATTCAACTTCATCTTGACCTTTAACTCTTTTAGTGCTTGTCAGAAGGACTTGTCATGAGATGCTTGGTCAAATATGACAGATGGCTTTATCTTTAACTTTGAAAAACAACCTTTTCCCCCTTTGTGGATAAAGCGAGGCTTTGTCTCCCATTAGGCTTGTCCTTCTTCCAGCTTTTCTTTATTTTTTCTTTTCCCAAACTCTCCCTTCTCTTCAAGCCTGATCCTTAAGAGGTCTTTGGCTTGTCTACTTGCCTTAAGTGTTGAACTCTACTCTAAAGTTCTTTCATGCTTTCTCTTTGGGGTCGCCATAACTGTACAGCTTTACATTCTGAGGTAACAACAGAGGACAGCAAATTAGGGGACAATATTAAAGAAGTTTACCTCATTGTTATACAATTTGTTTTTGATCAAGTGATTCAAAATAACAAACAAGATTACTAAACTTTAATTGCTAAGCACAAGAACACATTAACTTTTAATTTGACTTATATCAAAGGTGGTAGCAACCAAAGTATTCAAATTTAAATCACATATTATAATCACTGATTTGAGTTTCAGCAGCATGGATGGGAATTTAAATGTTTATTTTTGGATTAACTTTAAGAAATAGAGCAATGAATCAGAATTTTAAAAGATTTGAAGACATAAGACATTAGAGAACAAAAACAGACTATTTTTTAGATGTTACCACTTACATAAAAACTTGAATTTCAAACTTCAACACCCCTCACTAATCATCCATCTGAAGAAAGGATATTGAACATATGCAAATCCTCTTGGCCGTCGAGTGTAGAAATCAAGTGGAACATAAACATCTACTATTGGACCATAACGACCAAATTCCCGACGTAAATCTTCCGACCTAAAACATCATGAAAAAACTCAAACTTTTTATGTTCATGTTCTTGCAATTACATTTCAATACTATCTTAAGGAAGAATGTAAGGATTGTGGCTGATATTAGTATAACCCATGGATCCTATATCCCTGTCTTGTCTTGGCCAACCTGAAACAAACAAGCCTTCTGAATTTCAAAGGTGGGGCAGGCTAATCCCAGGACTTGGGGGCAGAGGCAGGTGGATCTGAATTGAAGGCCAGTTTGGTTTACAGAATGAATTCCAGCACAGCTAGGTTATATGAAGAAACTGTCTTGAAAAATTCAAAGACAAACAACCCCTCCCCTACACCATACAACAACAGATAGTCCACCTTTCTTTTTTAACTCCAGCACTGTGAAGGCAGAGGCAGGGGGAATCTGTGAGTTCCAGGTAAACCAGGGCTACATAGTGAGATCCTGTCACAAAAACAAACAAACAAACAAACAAACAAACCAACAAACCAAACAACTGACACAAAAATAAAATCCAAGTGTGGCAGCTCACCTGTAACCCAAGAACTGGAAAAACTAAGGTAGGAAGACTGTTAATGAGATCAGGGGCAGTCTGTGCTACAGTCTGAGCTGAAAAAGGGGGTGTGGAGAGAAAGCACTCTGTGGTGCTGGGCATGGTATCTTTTGTCAGTACCCAACGATGGAGATGGATAAGGCAGGGTAAAGAGTAGGTTCAAAGACAAATCATAGCCTGTCTCTGAAACCCTGTTTCCAGGAAGAGAAGGGGTGGTGGTGATGCTTATAAGCCTATTACTATTTTACATGTCAGTAAATAATTACAGTTTTAAATCCATTCTTCACAGTTCATAAAAGGCATGTCTTCTGTTTTTAAAAACAATCACTGCCGGGCGGTGGTGGTGCACGCCTTTAATCCCAGCACTCGGGAGGCAGAGGCAGACGGATCTCTGTGAGTTCGAGGCCAGCCTGGTCTACAAAGTGAGTTCCAGGAAAGGCGCAAAGCTACACAGAGAATCCCTGTCTCGAAAAACCAAAAAACAACCACCAAGTCGGGGCGGGGGCGGGGGCGCACGCCTTTAAATCGCAGCGCTCGGGACGTAGAGGCAGGCGGATCTCTGGAATTCTAGACCAGCTTCGTCTACAGATATCTCTGTCCTGAAAAATAAATACTTTCCTCTTTTAAGACAGGGTCTCATTCTAGCCCAAGTTGACTTTGAACTCAAGGCAATCGTAACGCTGCCTCCCAAGTGCTGGAATTACAGGCTTGGGCCATCATACCCATTTTACCCTAAAATTGTTCAACAGGTCGGCCAACAAAAACGTGACATAATAAAACCACAGTATCCAAACCCTTAAGTGCTAAAATGACAAACGGGAGATTTTTTATGGCCGTTAATAAACCACTTTTGTTTTATGCGTAATGACAAGAGGAAATAAAATCCCACAACACTTAACAAAAAACTCAGTTTTTCTTTGGAGATTATTTACAAACACGAAGCATGAACATCGTGTGATAAACATCTCTCCCAAAAAAATTCCGAGGGCAATTTCAAAGCAAGGGTATAGCTGAAAACAAAGCCTTTACCAGGCTGGCCTCGAACTCCTACAGTCTTCTGAGTGCTGGGACTACGCCCGACGACAAGGTCTCCTTAATTAAGTACCGCCTCAGTTCATCTAAGTTAACTATGAGGTCCTAACGGGAGAGATTTCTTCAGCACTCCGTTTCCAAAGCGATTTCCGCGAAACATGAGGGAATATTCCATTTAACCGGAAAATTGTAATTTCTCAAACCTCAACAATTCCTCTCCCCCCCCCGATTATCTCTAACCCATAAACCACCACCCGCACCGCCGGGGAAAAGAGAGCCACGAACACCCTCCCCCTCCCCGTTATTCCACTAGCATCTTTTCTGTTTCCTGACTTGGGAGACGGGGGCTCACTTCGTAGCCCGTGCTGACCTCGACCTCGCGCCAATCCTCCCGCCTCAGCCTCCCCGGGTGATGGGACCACGGGCCGGTGCCGCCCCGCCTGGCAACCTTTTCCCTTTCAACAACAAAAATTCCTTTCGAGGCGAGGGGGCGTGCACCCCACGGAACGTGGACGCCGGATCAACGAGGAACAGACGTCCGGCCCGCCAGACGGCATAAGCCAGGAGCACGCGGGGAGGAAGGGGCCCGAGTGCCCGGCGGCGGTTTGGCCCGGCCCGGGGTCCGCCCTCGCTCCCGCAGGCCGGCAGAGGCCGGCGGCGAGGCCTAGTCCCCGCGCGGGCCCCGCCATCTTCGCCCCGCCCCTCCCCCGCGCCGCCGCTCGCCGCTCGCTCGCCGTGCGCCCGCGGCCTCCCCCGCGCAGTAGCTGCCCCGGTGCTCTCACCTGGTGTCGTCGGCCACGTTCCTGACGAACAGAGACGTGTTGGGGGGTCGCAGGTAGCGGGACATGACGGCGGCGGGAGGCTGGGCCAGCGGCACTAACGGGCTCGGCAAACCGTCCGCGGCTCCGGCGGCGGCTCACATCCACTCACACACTCTCCCAGAGCCAGAGGGCTCCGCTACGGCAACGGCCTCTTCTCGCGAGACTTCGCTCCCGCCTCCACTCTCCTCCCCGCCCCTCCCACCTGCCTCCCCGCAGCCGCACCGGCACGGACAACGGCTTTCTCCCGCGAGATCTCGGGGCGCGCGCCTGCGCGCGCTGCGGCCTGGCGCGCGCGCGCTGCGTCCTGGCGCACGCGCCGCAGCCTCGGCCCTATTCATTGGCTCCAGGCGCAGGTTCTGCCCCTCCCCTCCGGCCCGTTCTTTCTTTCTTTAGCGCTTCGTTTTCCCGCCCTTTTCTGCCTTGCTGCCCGGGCTCCCCATCTCCTATTAGCAAGCATGCTGTTTTCAACTACAGCGGCTGGGTTTTTAAGCCTCAGAACCCGGGGAGACGGCTCTGAAATCTTCCGGTCCGAATTGTGCCTCGGGTTTTTAATCAGATCCCTGACAGGAGCTTACATCTTCTTTGCAGGGCTTGGTTTGGGAAGGGAGATGTGCAGAAAGCGAGGCCTGTGGCTCCAGAGCTTTCTGCAGGGCGTGCACGCACTCTCTGCTTTCGTGGGACTGCCGTTGCCCCACACCTGGTCACCTATGCACGCATTTCCCTCCCAATGAGAACTGGATCAAATCTCTGCTGCCCTTGTACTGTGTTCTCATGTCGTTCGGACTATGCAAAGTACTTATATGGGAAAGGTTCTCTTTCCATGCCAATTTTATGAAAGCCTCGGCGAGGTGTTCTTTCTTTACTTTCTTTTGTTGTTGTTTAATGGGGATCCAGTCTAGGACCTTGCATGCGATGTGCTAGCCAAGTCTACCACAGTCCTGCACCTTAAGAGTGACGGACACCCTGTCATTATCCCCCTCGTTCTGTCATCCCCCGTTAACTTTCAATTCTCATCGTGGGATATGCTGGTTAAGTAAATTCTTGGGTCTGTGTCTCTTCTCTCTGTGGTTCTGCTGGAAATGGATGCAGGAGCTTGCACGACTACATGAACACTCTTCTACTGAGCTGCTTTAGTCTAGAAAATACATTAAGGGTCACAAACGGGCTGGAGAGATGATTTGGTGGTTAAGCAGATTGGTCCTCAGGACTCAAACTGGGTGGGTCACAACTGCCTGTGACTCCAGCTCCAGGGGATCTAATGTCCTCTTCCGCTCTTCAGGGGTACCAGCTGTCATGTGCACATACCCACATAGACACTCCTAAACTACCGCTGGCTTTGGTGGTACAGACCTGTGATCCTGGTACTCAGGAGGCCATGACAGGAGGATCAGTGAGTTGGAGAATTCAAGGCCAACCTGGGCTACATACTAAGAAACTGTCTCAACGGCCTCCCCCTGAATGCTTAAGGGAAGTTCCTTGTCTGTGTATCCTGCATATTGGGCATTAATAGTTTAGATGCAAGATTGTACATCGGTAGCGAACTTCTGCCCTCTGGGGTTCTCCCATTGTGCTGTAAGCCTGTATTTAAGACCTCCCTCCTTCAATAAACGGCATTCAGCATAAAAAAAAAAAAAAAAAGCCAAGTTACAACGCAATAACCAGACTTCATGGGAGAATCCATGACAGACAGCCAGACCTCCTCCAAGAACATAGAAAGCATTCAACATTATGTAAAACCCTGTAACAATGCAGGATTTCTTTTTCTCTTCTTTCTCTGTTGTAGAATATTATTTTAAGGTGTGTTACTTTTGTTTATATTGCATTTGTTTAACTCTGTGAAGCTGTGATACTGTGTCTGTCTAAAACACGTGATGGTCTAGTAAAGAACTGAATGGCCAATAAAAAAAAAATCAAAACCCACCAGGGCTTTGATGTCTCAATAGTTATAAGTCCTCTTCCAGAGGACCTAAGTTCAGTTTCCAGCACCCTCGTCGGTGGATGGGGCTCATAATCAAAAAAGCAGAAAACCAACCAAACCCTTACCCACATACACAAATAAAATAAAACTCCCAAAATATTTAAAATGAACACAGCACCAAATGTTAAAATGTGGCTTATATGAATTAATATTTACTGAGGTCCAACTTACAATGGAGAGGATGCACACATCTCACTCCCCTTCAAATATATCACATATCCCGGTAAACATGAGGTTTGTGGAGAGGGTGAGAGAAGAAGAAAAGCAAGAAATCAGCACCTCTTGGCCACCTGGCTTTTGAGAACATTGTGCAATTTACCAAATTACGGATCTGCTGATGGGGTAGAGTTGAAGGAAGACTATGGCAGTACAACACCTGTGGTAGTTTTAATATAATTGGCGCTCCTAATCCCAAAGGGAACGGCACTATTAGGGGGTGTGGCCTTGTTGGAGTAGGCGTGGCCTTGTTGGAGGAAG